AATAAAATATGAAAAAATATCTATAACGGAGTGGGTCTGGCTCTTTAAATTTTGGACGAACTTTTAATTTCAAATTCCGATATTGGCTCATTAAGTAAATTATCATAGATAAAAATATTTACATCAGGTATAATATATTCCTCATCCGGGTTTGAATCCGTGCTGAGGTCTTTAAAGTAATTGTGAAGTTCTTAAACAGTTCAATAATATCATTTTTTTTTCTGATTTCCATCAATGTCATTAAAACGTTCCCGAAAAGCCTTTGTATCAGACATTAATGATTTTTCTTATTTCGGCGCTTCCGGTTTTTCTTGATACTTTATGTAACATGATTTCTTATTATTTCTATATTCCTCTCCCCTTTGTTTTTCATTCTTTGTTTATTCAAACTAGTTTTGATGTGAAATTATTTCTTTGTTATCATACACTCAAGTGTATACCACAGTTTGTGATAACTGGCATCTTTATGACAAACAAGATTTTATTATTTTAAAATCCAAACCGATTCACAAGAATCGGCAACTACTTTGCTTACTTAGCTACTACATAATTAATACAATTTTGTTCACTCACAGGCCTTCGGGAATCACCTAACTGATACAACTTTTCAATAAGTAAATTTATTCCAAGAGAATTACTATTACTAATAAAATATGTAAAGTTTAGTTTAAGATCATATCTCCATTTAACAGTTAGCGTAGTATTATCAGTTTGAATAGTATTTAGGATGCGTACTTCTGCACATGTATTTTGATATTCAATACATGAATCAATTCTACAGTGAACATCGAATATAACAAGATCAAAATCAGAAACACAAAGGTTACTGATGCTTGAAAACACATCTGCTGACAAAATTACATAGTCAATTAAGCTTGTATCACTAAATGCTTATGCAACATATCGATCTGCGCCAACCGTCTTGCCATTGACAATATAAAGATTCAGTTTTTTTTTTACAAAGTTTGATTAACTTGTATCCAAAGTTATTTGCTTTCGACAAATCTTCACTGTGTCTTTCTAGTGGAATATTAAATGTTGGGAGCTTTTCAAAATCCAACATATACGCTTACATTTTGTCATTTTCATCAATATGCATTATTGCAACAAAATTTGGAACGGGGATTAAAAATCAGGACAATACAGATTCTACATATATAATACGTCGAATTAAGCATTATGTGTTTTCATCTTTGAATCTTAATATTAAATCTTATATGCTTAATTAAAAATGTTGTTTGAAGTTATTTTTAGATACAAATATACTGACTTTGTACTGATATTTACATAAAGTATAGGTATGTGTGATGTAACGTGTGTATTTTAGGTGTGTGAGATGTAACGTGTGTATTTTAGGTGCGTATGATGTAACATGTGTATTTTAGGTGTGAGATGTAACGTGTGTATTTTAGGTGTGTGAGATGTAACGTGTGTATTTTAGGTGCGTATGATGTAACATGTGTATTTTAGGTGTGAGATGTAACGTGTGTATTTTAGGTGTGTATGATTTAACGTGTGTATTTTAGGTGTGTGAGATGTAACGTGTGTATTGCAGGTGTGTTGAGATGTAACGTGTGTATTTTAGGTATGTTTGATGTAACGTGTGTTTTTAGGTGTGTGTGATGTAACGTGTGTTTTTAGGTATGTATGATGTAACGTGTGTATTTTAGGTGTGTATGATGTAACGTGTGTATTTTAGGTGTGTGTGATGTAACGTGTGTATTTTAAGTGTGTATGATGTAACGTGTGTATTTTAAGTGTGTATGATGTAACGTGTGTATTTTAGGTGTGTATGATGTAACGTGTGTATTTTAGGTGTGTGAGATGTAACGTGTGTATTTTATGTGTGAGATGTAACGTGTGTATTTTAGGTGTGTATGATGTAACGTGTGTATTTTAGGTGTGTATGATGTAACGTGTGTATTTTAGGTGTGTATGATGTAACGTGTGTATTTTAGGTGTGTGAGATGTAACGTGTGTATTTTAGGTGTGTGTGATGTAACGTGTGTATTTTAGGTGTGTATGATGTAACGTGTGTATGTTTGATGTGTGAGATGTAACGTGTGTATTTTAGGTGTGTGTGATGTAACGTGTGTATTTTAGGTGTGTATGATGTAACGTGTGTATTTCAGGTGTGTGAGATGTAACGTGTGTATTTTAGGTGTGTGAGATGTAACGTGTGTATTTTGTGTGAGATGTAACGTGTGTATTTTAGGTGTGAGATGTAACGTGTGTATTTTAGGTGTGAGATTTAACGTGTGTATTTTAGGTGTGTATGATGTAACGTGTGTATTTTAGGTGTGTATGATGTAACGTGTGTGTGTATTTTAGGTGTGTAGATGTAACGTGTGTGAGATGTAACGTGTGTATTTTAGTGTGTGTGATGTAACGTGTGTATTTTAGATGTGTGAGATGTAACGTGTGTATTTTAGGTGTGTGAGATGTAACGTGTGTGTGAGATGTAACGTGTGTATTTTAGGTGTGTATGATGTAACGTGTGTATTTTAGGTGTGAGATGTAACGTGTGTATTTTAGGTGTGTGTGATGTAACGTGTGTATTTTAGGTGTGTGAGATGTAACGTGTGTATTTTAGGTGTGTGAGATGTAACGTGTGTATATTAGGTGTGTATGATGTAACGTGTGTATTTCAGGTGTGTGAGATGTAACGTGTGTATTTTAGGTGTGAGATGTAACGTGTGTATTTTAGGTGTGTATGATGTAACGTGTGTATTTTAGGTGTGTATGATGTAACGTGTGTATTTCAGGTGTGTTGAGATGTAACGTGTGTATTTTAGGTATGTTTGATGTAACGTGTGTTTTAGGTGTGTGTTTTAGGTGTGTGTGTGATGTAACGTGTGTATTTTAGGTGTGTATGATGTAACGTGTGTATTTCAGGTGTGTGAGATGTAACGTGTGTATTTTAGGTGTGTGTGATGTAACGTGTGTATTTTAGGTGTGTGTGATGTAACGTGTGTATTTTAGGTGTGAGATGTAACGTGTGTGTTTTAGGTGTGTGAGATGTAACGTGTGTATTTTAGGTGTGTGTGATGTAACGTGTGTATTTCAGGTGTGTGAGATGTAACGTGGTGTGTGAGATGTAACGTGTGTGTATGTTTACGTGTGTGTGTGTGATGTAACGTGTGTATTTTAGGTTTTAGGTGTGTGAGATGTAACGTGTGTATTTTAGGTGTGTGTGATGTAACGTGTGTATTTTAGGTGTGTATGATGTAACGTTGGTATGTTCGGACTGGTTGAATAAACTAGCGTATTTCAGGAGGGTGAGATGTAACGTGTGAATTTCAGGTGTGTGAGGTGTGTGAGATGTAACGTGTGTATTTTAGGTGTGTGTGATGTAACGTGTGTATTTTAGGTGTGTGAGATGTAACGTGTGTATTTTAGGTGTGTGTGATGTAACGTGTGTATTTTAGGTGTGTGAGATGTAACGTGTGTATTTTAGGTGTGTGTGATGTAACGTGTGTATTTCAGGTGTGTGAGATGTAACGTGTGTATTTCAGGTGTGTGAGATGTAACGTGTGTATTTTAGGTGTGTGTGATGTAACGTGTGTATTTCAGGTGTGTGAGATGTAACGTGTGTATTTTAGGTGTGTGTGATGTAACGTGTGTATTTTAGGTGTGTGTGATGTAACGTGTGTATTTTAGGTGTGTATGATGTAACGTGTGTATTTCAGGTGTGTATGATGTAACGTGTGTATTTTAGGTGTGTGTGATGTAACGTGTGTATTTTAGGTGTGTATGATGTAACGTGTGTATTTTAGGTGTGTATGATGTAACGTGTGTATTTTAGGTGTGAGATGTAACGTGTGTATTTTAGGTGTGTATGATGTAACGTGTGTATTTTAGGTGTGTGAGATGTAACGTGTGTATTTTAGGTGTGTATGATGTAACGTGTGTGATAATATTGTGTCTTGACAAAGGGGCGGATTGCCTATACAATTTATAATCCTGATCAGCTCCCCACCCCCATTTATATACTGATATATATATATAGCGAAATGTCAAACGAATTTTAGTTTCTACCAGAACTCATGATGGCACAAACGATTTTTTTCATGAGAAATAAAATTATCAAAGAAATGAACTTGAATGAACTTATCTTTTTATCTACATGTAGGAAAATAAATAATATTTCACCGCCTTATAAATATCTAAGTATATATTCCCAATGAAACAGAATAAAATGTATTTCAAGTATTTCATGATGCAATAATTTAGTAGGTAATCTATTAATTTAATATGTAATTTATATAAAGTAATTGTTTGATCATATTAAGTCTTCCGCTTCTTTCAAGACGACTGCAATTGAGGTCCCATATTGATTTCATTTCTCTGAAAATGTTTTAATTTGTGACCTGTTTACACAGGCGATATGACATGTTAGTGTTTATAACTCCACAAAAGGGTTTGTGACGTATAACAGATAATGAGTCACAATCGAGGGGATTGTTTAAGCTGAATTCTGAGGAAAAGCAAATATTTATAAATGATAGATATATATTTGCTTGCTACCAGTAAAACATTCCTTTATTTTATTATATCCTTCATACAAGTACATAGTAATTCTGCTATAACATCAACAGAATGAATTTACGAAGTCTGTATGCGAATACCTTTTGACCTACTTCTGACAGTGCACATAAACGTTTTCTTTATATACATATATATGCGTGTGTACCAAGAAAATGAATTCGTTGAATCAAGGGAGATAACCGTTACAAAGAAATTACGTTGATACAACATCCAGTTAAAACGTGAAGAAACTTAAGGAGACGCTACTTCCTTAGTCGGGAGATAAACTTAAGGGTCGTGCTTGTCGTTCTACAGCATGTATGTATGACCTGATTAGTGGCGAGAGAAACTAACTAGACTTCTGTGACATGGAACGGAGTTGAACACCTGTGTTACCCAAGTCTGTGAGAAAAGCACCTGCCAGTGCCCCGTCCTTATTACCTGTACTATTAACTTCCTGGATACATTCCGCCATGAAGTTCCTCTTGTACGCGGGAATTGTGATACAGCTCTGCTTTGTGATAGAAGGCCTCAGATTGTTCAATTGTACATCAATACATGCGGTGAGTTTGAGTTTTCTTCTCGTCTTCTTTATTTATTAACAGTATACACATGTTTGTTTACAGTGTAAAACTGTGCACGTGACTGCTTTAAGTTTCGTATCCAAACACGAAGAATATTGATTTGTCCTAAGTTCACGAAACTATTAAATGATGTCGATGAACTACTTCGACAATAATGTCTTTACCTGTCATCAACCGTCCGTTGACAGGGTCAAGTAATATTTTAACTTTGTTATATGTGTTTACAAATGTCTGACAATTGACAGCCGAAATTTAAGCCGTGACATGTATATGGAAGTATGCCATTTTTGAATTTGTTTTTATCCTATTTGTAAAATGTTTTCGGCTCAGATTTTGTAAACTCTACCTACTGTTCTTGTGTTCCCTGAGTTTTCCTACAATTAATGTCCACACTTTGACTAATTACAGATTGTTTACAACAAAATATTGATAAAATACAGACCAATTTCCTCTCTCAATATCAATTTGAGGAAATAAAGAATAATGATAGCCAAGTTTGAATAAAACACTTACTCCATTGTCTTAGGGAGATCATTTAAGTCATACTGTGAATGTTAAAAGCTATTCAATAGGTATACACTGATATTGTTATGTATATCTGGTTGTGAATAAAGAACACATAACAATGAAATCATTACAAAGGAGAATATTTGTTTTATAACACAAATTCTGTTTTAATTTTTAAACCCTGTTTTTAACTTGATAAGAACGTTTAGTCACTTACAAACAGACACGAGAAGATTTGATACAAGGAGAATATTTGTTTTATAACACAAAGAATATTTAAGAACGTTTTATACAAACAGACACGAGAAGATTTGATGCAATATGGCTGTAACACTAAAATTTCCATTTACAAAAAGAAAATTACAAAAAGAAATTTCCTTTTACATACCAGTACATAATATCTGAAAGATTTTATATCAAAGAACAAATATTGGAAACTTCCAAGAGATCTCCAGTTTGAAAATTGCTTAATTCATATATGCACTGAAATCAGAACCAAAAGATTGACTTTATTATAACAGATTTAATTAAAGTTTGACTATGAGACCGAACATTTACTCAAAATGTATTAGCCTTACAGGTTACAACATCTGTATGTAGCCTCTTGGTATTGCTGGCATTATTCAATTTTCTGTCACCAACAAATAAAAAAAGGTCACATACAACAACATCATAGTGATATGTCTTTTTTGATGGAAACACTGCTAAGACATGTCTTACATGAAAGTCATACCACAAAGACATTGTCTTATATGACAGACACACTGCATAAACATTGTCTTATATGGCAGACACACTGCAGAGACATGTCTTAAATGACAGACACATCATAGAAACATATTTGACAGACACAACACTGAGACATTGTCTTACATGACAGACACAATACAGAGACATTGTCTTACATGACAGACACACCACAGAGACATTGTCTTAAATGACAGACACAATACAGAGGTATTGCCTTACATGAACGACATGCCACAGAGACATTGTCTTACATGACAGACACACCACAGAGATATTGTCTCACATGACAGACACATCATAGAGACATTGTCTTACATGACAGACACACCATAGAAGCATATTTGAGAGACACACCACAGAGACATTGTCTTACATGACAGACACATCACAGAGACATTGTCTTACATGACAGACACACCACAAAGACATTGTCTTACATGACAGACACACAACAGAGACATGTTTTAAATGACAGACACACCACAAAGACATTGTCTTATATGACAGACACACTACAGAGACATGTCTTAAATGACAAACACACCATAGAAACATATTTGACAGACACACCACAGAGACATATTTGACAGACACAATACAGAGACATGTTATAAATGACAGACACACCACAAAGAAATTGTCTTACATGACAGACACACTGATAGAAACATATTTGACAGACACAATACAAAGACATTGTCATATATGATAGACACACCAAAGAGACATATCTTACATGACAGACACATCACAGAGACATTGTCTTAAATGACAGACACACCATAGGAACATATTTGGCAGACACACCACAGAGACATTGTCTTACATGATAGACACACCACAGAGGCATTGTTTATGACAAAGACATGTTCTATTAAATTGGCACACCATTAAGATTGACATTGTCTTATGTGACAGAAATATCGAACAGAGACATCACTGTGACACAGCTGATACAACTACAAAATTTCAATGAGGAAGCTGGTGATGTGTAAATGCTATTATCAGATGATTCATGTTGCAAAACGCTTTTTCCAATTCATCAATATAAGTACACTTCGTATTTCAGGTTTGTATCATATTTCAACACTACACGGACATCATTACAAATAAATTGATAAAACAGCTAAACAAATACTTAAATACTGCTATATACTTATTGTTGTTTGTATTACAAATCTGTCTTTTTTTTCAATTTGGCAAATGATTTTGTATGTTTAATAGATATTAAATATATATTCAATATATAAGATTTCTTATTGTGTAGCACATGTCCTTTGTCATTTCTATTGTTTATTTGAGATACAAGAACATGTGGTATCTTCTTTAAGTGCATGTAACAATGTGGACTGGTAACTTCATGTAGTGGATGTACAGGGAAGACATTGTTATGTCCGTTTAAACAGGAAAGATGTGCTAAAGGTGTAGTACAGATCATTCAAAAGATCGAATGACCCTTTCTTCACATTCAGCCAGCTGGCATTCAATTGTCCCTACTTCAAATCCAACCCATGCTTTCATCTAGATTTTTAAAAGTACATTTTTTCATTTCTTGAAATTTCAATATTTTTAGGATACATATATGTTATACCATTGACTAGAACACAGATATTTGTCAATTAGACAATGCCTGCAAGCTGAAAGTGAAGAGTTCCAGAGCTAGAAACCTGAAATTATAAATCTCATAGACAATGATGAATTGATAATTTAACTGAAACTGTTCAATTTATACAGAATAAATGGTTTATTTTTTTCTATTGTGGCTCTGTTTCAAAGATTGCACAGTCAAATGTCCCCTACACAGGTTTAATTACAAACATGTACCAGGAAAATTGAACGCAGCATGTGAGTGAATGTGTACCAAAGATTTAAAAATTCAGAAACAGGAGATTGAATTTCATACTGGCTATGTGATTAAATTTTAATTCAACTTCAAAATTTAAAAAGGTTTAACGAAAATTATCTGATGGAGTGATTAAGAAATGAATGAAAAAAAAAATCACAGAAAAATTACTATACTTTTGTATGTATGTTGTAAGAGGTTAAATTTAATTCTTCAAAATATCATGTTTGTTTGGTTACAACAATATGTAGTATATAAAGACCTTAAAAAGTTTCTTGTCTATGCAAAACAATTTATTACCAATTTTGGGACAATTTATTGCCAGGTGTAGGGTTTTTTGCAGTCAGTTTGTTTGAAATTATTAGCAGTCACATTCAGTAAGTTCATTAGCATAATTTCTAGAAGATTAAATTACCTGTTTTATCCCCAACATCTTGAGAGTTTGAAGTCACCTGCTTTAAAAAAAAACCAATAGTGGCACGGAAGTTGGACCTCATTTTCATTCAAGAATGTGTATGGCTTTACACGACACAGTACATTATACAATTGTACAGACTATACATGAAGATTTAGGTCTTAACTATGAAGAATTTACATAATTTACCAGCCTGATCGTCATGATTTCCAATTTCTACATAGATATTTAATTATATACATGTAGTTTGTTGTTATTTTCATTATTTATGTGATCCGACAGGTTTTCCTGAACAGACTGTTTTCTGATGTCACACTCGCTGTTCTCTCAACCATTTTATTAAACAATGATTGTTGGCAAAGTGTCCTTATGTGAAAAAAACTCTGAAATCTAAAACCATCAATATTAAAGCATAGAATATCTTTCAACCTGTGTACTTAAAATTGATTGTGAATATATTATTGTGTTAGTGTATTTACAGGTAATTTGAACTTTTTTTGCACTTAAGTTTATAATTTCAAATTGACTAAGCCCATTGTGATGCTGTGTTTTCAACCTGTTAAATTTGAAATACCATATTCAACCCAATAAGCACCCATGTCCCTATAAGCACCCACTCCACCCTTCAGATACCTAAAGGTCTTGATTTACTTGCGTTTTAGTCACGATCAAGAAGTGTTTTAAGTCGGTTTATTATCTATTTGATAAAATTATGGCTAAATTGATTTTTGAACAAATCATATCAACTAAAAAATATTTATAATTTAGAAGAATTTTTGTAAGTGAATGTTATTCAAAATCTGAAAAAAGTCACTTCAGTTGTTTATGTGAAACCCACCCCCTCCTCCATTCTCTGTGCAAAAGAGTGCATGACATGGATTTCAAGTTAATAAATTTTCTATTTCAATGTAAGCTACTTTGGTGTGATGTCCTGCTGTTAGTATCAAGGTCACAATGTGTAACAAATACTTTCGATATTTCAACCTGTTAAAATCTCACTGAAATATTTATGGAAAAGATAAGATTGAGATTTAAGATAACCCTAAACTACAGGTCAATTCAGGGGAGGTAGACCTGACAAACATGTCATTGTAATCTTGAAAAATACAGAAGCACTATATACCTTTTCTGAAGTCTTGTTATTCAATCGAAATTTGTATTTTTTATTTATTTTGCAATTTTTAAAAGTAAAAATACTCATGAATTAGCTAGAATAACACTGTGTCACAAAATAACCCCATTGTACCTTTATAATTTCTTTTTAAAATGTTTGCATTCTTTGGTGGAAGATGACGAAACATTTTCAACATTTACAACATAAACTCTTCGACAAAGCTGCAGTATACAACTGCATTATAGTGTTGTGGTATTTGTGTCTTATCGGTTTGTGTTTCCTGACAAGGTAAATAGTTCTTGGTCTAGTTTATACAAGTCTACTACAAAATTATTATTTCACATGCAATGTTAAAGACCTTGCCTTACGTTAAAGGAACACTTTTAAGTAGTTTAAAAACAACTAGGTGAACTGCGTTGTTGATATAAAATTCATCAAATGCTTCTGCGTGTTGTACACAATGCTTTTTTGTTGTAGAAATTTCATCTGAATTTTATTCATTTGTCAAAATTATTTTTATATTTGACTTATTTTACTGGTCACAGTTTAGGATGAATCTCTAACAGGTTCTTCCTGACATATGGGTTAATATGTTGTATACTAATTTTCTGTCTTTCCAAGATGCTTTGCATTTTAAATTGATCCAAAAATTATTTTTATCTTAAAATACTTCTTCAAAATGCTGTTAAAATAGCAAATAAAAGTGATACATTTTAAAAAGCACTTGTGATATTTTCAATCTTTATTTTTAGTAAATTTTAAAAATTTGATACAATCATTAATATTTGATAATGTTTTTGTTTTAAGGTTTGGTAGTGAGATCTAATAAAATATTAGAATTCTTCAAACTTCAGTATGAAATTTTTGAATTAATTGATGAAATTTTGTTTCAATTTTTCATCATTTTTTAAATATTGGTTGATTTTTAGTTTTTAATTCATATGTAGTCCTTTTTCCTATTTCAGCCACACATTGGATGTGAAGTATACCTTCTCAATAAAGATGGTAAGTACTGTGAATTATTATTATACAGAGTTATAGCCCTTGAATATTTTCTATTACTGAAGTATTACTTGTGAGGTTGTGATGGACACATTGTAGGTTTTACACTGCATACTTATAAGTGTTAGAAATTGCTGATAAATTTTCTAATTATTTTCTGATTCAATATTGATAGAAAAGTTGTATTTTTACAAAACATATTTTGTGTATACAATGATAACACATATACTACACCATACTTGTGCACATTTACATCACTGTGATGAAAGTGTCTGAAGTTATCGAAAACTGTTAGTCTGATCTTTATATTACAAGATTAACCATTAAAATGATAATAATAGAAAAATGTACACATCATCAAAAGTCGAAAATCTCATGCACTACCAAATGCAGTTCTAGATTTTTCTGTCTTGTTTCGTGCATCAAGTTTGATGAAAAATTCAGAGTTAGATTTTGATAAATTGAAGATTTTAGGAATGAAAATTAGTCATGTGTATAGTTTTATTCATCATGTTTCAAGGAACAGGTTGAAAGAAACATGTTATGATACCTTATGCGAAAGCTGATTCCTGTATTCTCAAGCTTGATTGACATACAATATGACTAATATTTACCCTTTATAGAATAAATTGCACATGGAAATCAAGATTTTAAGATAAAAATAGTTCTTGAATGGAGTGAAAAGTTGCCAAGGTATCATGTTTTCTATAACTATCAAATTTCATTGGGTAAATAAATACTTAAGTGTTAAAAAAGTTGTGTATTTCAGGCGAAACGGTGTCTAGGTCCTCTGAAGAACAGGTATTTACATGCATGATCATGAGGGTGGGGATGGGGCAGTCTTCAGTGATTTATTACAAGGAAATGAAGAGATAAGTCTATTTGTATACACCCTATATATATTGATATTGAGATATTTGTATAGGTTCAAAGTATACAGGGATCTTCTTCATTACAAAGTGTTTCCATGTCCAGGCTTTGCAAAGTTCACCATGGGTAAAAATATTGCCCTTAAATTATCAACAGTAAAACTGACTTCATTTGTCTAACTACATACAAATTTATATTTCAAACTTTCAAAATCAGTTTTAAAAAACAAAACCAACACAATTTGTCTATACTTCTCTTTATTTATGAATAGCCAGTGGTAGTGAAAATTGTGTTTTTATTGACAGCTGAAAACTTCCTTAATCTGATAGTAACATACATCTAAGCGTTGCCCTGTGTTTTAAGTATGTACTTTTGTCCTTTTATTTCTTGGTATTAAAATTCATCAGAGAGTGCCTTACAGTCCTTTAAATTCCTCCAGGTATCTAAATTAAGTGTATATAGTACAGAATACTTATGCAGTAAAGTGCGGTTGGTGCAGAATGAGTCATTTTTACTTTTACTCCCCTATGTAAACTTATAGCTTTTTCTTACATCTTATTCAAAATCTTATGACAGGTCTTTAATTTGATCAATCATGAAATCTGTTTAATAAAATTAACACACTCGGTCTTGAAAATACCCAAGAAATGTAAAATTCTAAATTGTAAAAATTCTTAATCTTATAGATAATTTTTGTGTGACTGGGTAGCTGTTCAGCTGTTCAAATGATCTAGCTAAGATATGCTAGATAGTATTAGCACATAATTACCATATATTTTAGATATATGTCTTCTGCAATCCGATCTCTTTCTCTGTATGATGTAGCTGGGATTGGTGAACAAGCCAGGAAAGTGTAGTTGAAATGCTACATTTCCAACATATTTGTTAAAATCCTCTATGATTATCATAAATATTCCCTTGAACTTGTCTAGACACTGCATATTAAGTTTTGTAAGTTACTTTTTAACATCTGATCATATTAGATACATGAGATGTGTGCTGCCCGAGTTTGGATGAGGGTGGGGATAGGGATGATGATGGGGATGAGGGCCGAGATGAGGGTTAGTTTAGACAAGGGTTCTTTTTATAACATATATGCATTAACCAAATTTTCTATAATAGCTTTTTATATATTATGGCACATTTTCATTAATAAAAATTTACAAATACATACATGTATTTAAAGGTCAATTTGTTGACTGAATACAGTTAAATCTGGTGTAAGTAAGGTTCATATATTTTACAATTTAGGCCTAATATTTCTTGTTGATTACATAATAATGCTGATGTTGTAGTATTTCATTGCATGTTAATCTTTTTTCATTGTATTAAACGAATAGATACATAGGTATACTTTGTGCATAATATTTCAAAATATTTCATGTCTATTAAAAATTGTTCTCAGAAAAGCACAATATCACATGATACTTAATGTGATATATATATTGTACATCATGTACTAAGATATATATATACTGTACATCGTGTACTAAGATCTATATATACTGTACACCATGTACTAAGATGTATATATACGGTACACCATGTACTAAGATATATATACTGTACATGATGTACTAAGACCTCAACCCACTTTCAAGGTATATATATATACATCGTGTACTATGATATATATATACTGCACACCATGTACTAAGATATATATATACTGTACATCATGTACTTTGTGCATAATAGATATATATATATATACTGTACACCATGTATGATATATACTATGATATATATACTAAGATATATATATACTGTACACTAAGATGTATATATATATATATATATATATACATTGTGATATATATATAAGTACTATATATATATACATCGTGTACTATGATATATATATATACTGTACTAAGATATATATACCATACTGTACACCATGTACTAAGATATATATATACTGTACACATCTAAGATATATATATATGTACGTGTAAGATATATATATACTGTACATGATGTACTAAGATATATATATACTGTACATGATGTACTAAGATATATATACATCGTGTACTATGATATATATATACTGTACACCATGTACTAAGATATATATATACTGCACACCATGTACTAAGATATATATATATACATGATGTACTAAGATATATATGATGTACTAAGATATATATATACTGTACACCATGTACTAAGATATATATATACTGCACACCATGTACTAAGATATATATATACTGTACATGATGTACTAAGATATATATATACGTGTACTATGATATATATATATGTACTAAGATATATATATACTGTACACCATGTACTAGATATATATATATATATATACTGTACACCATGTACTAAGATATATATATATACTGTACACCATGTACTAAGATATATATATATATACTGTACACCATGATGTACTAAGATATATATATACTGCACACCATGTACTAAGATATATATATACTGTACATGATGTACTAAGATATATATATATACATCGTGTACTATGATATATATATACTGTACACCATGTACTATAAGATATATATATATATATATACTAAGATATATATATATACTGCATACCATGTACTAAGATATATATATACTGTACATGATGTACTAAGATATATATATACTGTACTATGATATATATATATATATATGTACTAAGCTATATATATATACATCGTGTACTAATATATATATATACTGTACATGATGTACTAAGATATATATACATCGTGATATATATATACTGCACACCATGTACTAAGATATATATATATATATACTGTACTAATATATATATATATACCATGTACTAAGATATATATATATACTATGATATATATATACTGTACATGATGTACTAATATATATATATATATACTAATATATATATATATACTGTACATGATGTACTAAGATATATATACATCGTGTACTATGATATATATATACTGTACACCATGTACTATGATATATATATACGTGATATATATATACTGTACACCATGTACTAAGATATATATATACTGTACACCATGTACTAAGATATATATACTGTACATCGTGTACTAAGATATATATATACTGTACACCATGTACTAAGATATATATATACTGTACATCATGTACTAAGATATATATATACTGTACATCGTGTACTAAGATATATATATACTGTACATGATGTACTAAGATATATATACATCGTGTACTATGATATATATATACTGCACACCATGTACTAAGCTATATATATACTGTACATCGTGTACTAATATATATATATATACTGTACATCGTGTACTAATATATATATATATACTGTACATCGTGTACTAATATATATATATATATACTGTACATCGTGTACTAAGATATGAACAAAGTAAGTGGCCAAAGTATTTATTATTGGCATGATTTAACTTTAAACCCTGAACTCCAGCGAAAGAATTTATTTTTTATTTTTTTAGGAATTTCCTAACAGTTCATTGCCTTATAGATAAACAATTATTTGAGTCATTGTCCATAACTGTTCCAAGATAAACAACTTATTTATCGGGTCAATAACTGTTTATGAGAAATATGATTTGTCACGATGTGTAGTACTTTTTACATTCTGTATGTATCGGTTTACATTTTAAGTGGTTATCTTTTTATTTAAAAACAACACAGAAATAAATACTCCTTAAGGCAGGATGTACATGGTAACAAATATGTACAAATTGTGATGAAAATTACATATTATGCTTGCTCTTAGTGTTGTGGTTTTAATATTATAAACTAATTCTGATGAAGAATCATACAGTAAATATATATATGTTAAATAATTGCTATATTAAGTAGATATATTTGTCTATGCCTATGTCAGTTTCTATATGATTGTGTCTGTGTCTATATGTTTGTGTCTATGTCTTTATGTTTGTGTCTGTGTCTACATGTTTGTGTCTATGTCTATATGTTTGTGTCTATATGTCTGTGCCTATGTCTATATGATGTGTCTGTGCCTATGTCTATATGTTTGTGTCTATGTCTATATGTTTGTGTCTCTGTCTGTGTCTATGCCTATATGTTTGTGTCTGTGTCTACATGTTTGTGTCTGTGTCTACATGTTTGTGTCTATGTCTTTATGTTTGTGTCTGTGTCTACATGTTTGTGCCTATGTCTTTATGTTTGTGTCTGTGTCTATATGTTTGTGTCTGTGTCTCTATGTTTGTGTCTGTGTCTCTACAGTTTGTGTCTATGTCTACATTTTTGTGTCCATGTCTATATGTTTGTGTCTATGTCTGTATGTTTATGTCTAAATATATGCCTATGTCTATATGTTTGTGTCTATGTCTATGCCTATGTCTGTATGTTTGTGTCAATATATATGCTTATGTCTATATGTTTGTGTCTATGTCTTTATGTTTGTGTCTGTGTCTACATGTTTGTGTCTAAATATATGCCTATGTCTATATGTTTGTGCCTATATCTATGCCTATGTCTGTATGTTTGTGTCTATATATATGCTTATGTCTATATGTTTGTGTTTATGTCTATATGTTTGTGTCTATGCCTTTATGTTTGTGTCTATGTATATGCCTATGTCTAGTGTCTATATATATGCCTATGGCTATATGTTTGTGTCTGTGCTTATGTCTATATGTTTGTGCCTATGTCTATATGTTTGTGCCTATGTCTATATGATGTGTCTATGTCTATGCCTATGTCTATATGTTTATGTTTATGTCTATATGTTTGTGTCTATATGTTTGTTCCTAGGTCTATATGTTTGTGTCTATGTCTATATGTTTGTATCTGTGCTTATGTCTATATGTTTATGCCTATGTCTGTGTCTATGCCTATGTCTATATGTTTGTGCCTATGTCTATATGATGTGTCTATGTCTATGCCTATGTCTATATGTTTGTGCCTATGTCTATATGATGTGTCTATGTCTATGCCTATGTCTATTTGTTTGTGTCTATGTCTATGTCTGTGTCTATGCCTATGTCTATATGTTTATGTCTATGTCTATATGTTTGTGTCTATATATATGTCTATGTCTATATGTTTGTGTCTATGCCTATGTCTATATGTCTGTGTCTATAACTTTGTCTATATGTTTGTGTGTATGTCTATGCCTATTTGTTTTTGTGTATGTCTATGCAGCCACAGATATGATACATGATTTGTGATTTTTGGTTGTCAGTTTATACATAATGTTATTGTAAATAAGTAAGTTACAAAATTAAAGGTTTTCTCTTTTCTAGAATGTAGTCCTCCCAACCTGGAGACTGAGTTTCCTCACCTGTACACAGATGGACTGGAGTACCCAGAAAAGCCTCATGATTTTCATGTGGACATCAGCTACAAGTACTATCCAACATATTTTAATGCTTCCTACCCATGTTTCAACATAACAATTCGTCCACCTATTACAAGTATGTACTACACATCCTGCCTGATATCTCTAATTTGTTTATTGTCAAGAGATCAAAGGTCACCTGACTTACTAAGGTGACCTATTATGATTATCTGTAGCTCATCAAACAGCTACATGTGTCAATCTGCCTGATTTTTATAAATCTTGACTCATTCTGCAAAGTTCTTATTAATTTAGTTTTGAAAATATAAATATGAAAATATTTTCTTAAAAGTTTGAATCAATGATGTATTTTTGTACCATTAAGAAGGAGATGAAAAATTTATGGATGAAAATGTTCTTTCATTTTCATTAATAAAACATAAGGTACAGGACATTAAGTACTAGTTCATTTGCTGCAATATGGCTGTATCAAAATATCGTTCAGGGCATTTTTTTTTTATTCATTTGCATGTTTTTACTATGAAAAGAGTGGATTATCATTGTCTTAAAGTGTTGTTTCATTAGTTTTTTTTATGAACTATTGATCTCATTAATGATAATTAATTAAAATATTTAGGTAGTTATAAAGATGTTAAAGGATTTGAAGTGACATACATGGAGCTTATTGCTGGAAATACAGAAGTAAAATGCCTGATCTTCAATCTGACAGGCAAGATCACCACCACAGACAAAGAGAATAGGGTAAGGACATAGTTAGAAAACTAAATGTTTAGATGGAAACAGCTTAAAGTCTTGAATGGCTTTGAGATAACTAGACTTATCCTGCAGAAAGGCCCCAGGATCCCAACACATTACTATGACTTCTAACTCATAGTTAGGGGATGGGCTTATTACAGGACCCCAGGGATCATTATATTACCTCTAACTCATAGTGAGAGGATGGACTTATTACAGGACCAAAAGGGACCAACACATTACACCTGGCTCAAAGTTAGGGGATAGACTTATTACAGGACCAAAAGGGACCAACACAATACACCTGGCTCAAAGTTAGGGGATGGACTTATTACAGGACCCTAGGGGGCCAACACATTACTTCTAACTCAAAGTTAGGGGATGGACTTATTACAGGACCCTAGGGGGCCAACACATTACTTTTAACTCAAAGTTAGGGGATGGACTTATTACAGGACCCTAGGGGGCCAATACATTACTTCTAACTCAAAGTTAGGGGATAGACTTATTAAAGGACCCTAGGGGGCCAACACATTACTTCTAACTCAAAGTTAGGGGATGGACTTTTTACAGGACCCCAGGGGGCCAACACATTACTTCTAACTCAAGGTTAGGGGATAGACTTATTACAGGACCCTAGGGGGCCAACACAATACACCTGGCTCAAAGTTAGGGGATGGACTTATTACAGGACCAAAAGGGACCAACACATTACACCTGGCTCAAAGTTAGGGGATAGACTTATTACAGGACCAAAAGGGACCAACACATTACACCTGGATCAAAGTTAGGGGATAGACTTATTACAGGACCAAAAGGGACCAACACATTACACCTGGCTCAAAGTTAGGGGATAGACTTATTACAGGACCCTAGGGGGCCAACACATTACTTCTAACTCATAGTTAGGGGTTGGCTTATTACAGAACAATGTTGGTTTATATTTGTACTATTGCTAACTGCAATATATACATGAATGGGCTTATCATAAGACACATTGCTGATAATTTACTCTCTAGAAAATCCATATAGATCTACAGGTTAGGTTAAAACTCTGTATTTATTTATTTTTACAACAATTGAAATTAATGTGTATATTGAAAAAATTAAAGCATTCATTGATTTAACCGCGGGAACTGTGGTTTTGAAATTTTGAGGCAGATGTGTAATGAAATTAAGTTTTGGTGTTGTGCTGTGAACTTTTTTCATGCTTCATTTTGCTTTTTTCTTGCATATCAATATTCATGACTAAAATTTTTGGATTCAGAATTGTATTTCAATTGTTTGTAAATTCTACATACCTATTGCCTGATTTGTGAATAATTAATCAGTCCAAGTTGAAATTTAGTAACCCAAACCACAAAACCTCCATAAATTCAAACATAAACTAATTTCATCAATGTTAATCCATTCATTACATCAATTCTTTAGAGAAATATGTTATTTAATTTTACCAGGTTGCCTTCAGAGCAGAACTTGTATGTCCTGTCTCAGCGTCAAGTGACTATCTCCTAAGGGCTTATAGTTTACCTAAGCCTGCAGCCCATTACGATGTGGACATGTCATTATCTGCATTAATCCATGCAGGTCCGCCTTTCAGTAAGTTTTCATTATGATGACATCATTACACAGCAATTTCTTTATCATTACTTTCTATGGAAGTATTTTAATATGAGGCCGAGGAGCAGCTTATATGACTCTCTGTCAAGTCTAAAAGATCTGGAATATATGTAATTCTTTGTAGCTTTTTGGAATAAGGCATTTATTTTCTTCATGAATTTATTTTGTAAGTGACATTAGGGGTTGAATTAGTTGAAATAAAATAGTTGAATTAAATTTTGTGTTTGATATCATGATGTTAAGTTTGATGTGATTTCAACTTCATACGAACAAATTATCTTGACCTGCTTTAGAGCTCTAAAGTTTTTGTTTTTAATTTTTGTGTCTAGAGCATAACTTTGCTTGCATTTACTCTAGGATATTCAAACTTGACATATACATTGGTCATGATGTGAACATATACTAAATTCAGGGCCCACATTTCCTTGGAGATAACATCATTGCCCTTTTGTTAAATTTTTTGTCAGGTGCATAACCCTTGTTCTATTTGAAAATATGATAATGAAACTTTGTGTATACATATACATTGTACCAAATTCAAGACCAACAACTCCTTATTTACAGAAGTATTGTTTAAATTTGTTAAGATTTTTTGGGTCCTTTGTTTTTCGCGGAGCAGTTTCACTGATACTATTGGTTTTGTCTGCTACAGATACAACTGCTCCATCCTCAGCGTATTGGACCACCACAATAATGTATCGAAACTATTCCCAGGAGATCTATTACTCCTTCCAGGGCCCACCTTTACGCTTCAACTTTGAGCACTTCATCGTCAGCCTGTACAATGTGTCTGATAGGAAGCAAACATCGGGACTTTTAGTCCAACGACAGCATATAACAGAGGTGAAATCATCAGCACTGATATTAGACTGTGTTATATTGCATGGTTGGGTGGTGCAGTGGTAAACCCCTACCTTTCACCTGAGGATCAGAGTTTGATGCAACCAATGTATTTTATTTACAGTAGAAACATTATTTCTTAATATGAATAAAAGTGAAGAAATGTGTCGGCAATTTGAAACCTTGCTTTAAAAGTTGTGATGGTTTCTTGTATCTTTCATAAATCATCTATGAATGTCTAATTTTCAGATTTACAAATACAATTATGTACATAATGTAATTTGCAGTATTTTAAAGGATGCTTTGTTATAAAGAAAATAAGAAATGAGATACTTTCAGGTGTTTAAGGCCTCCGCGTACCATTCAAACAGATTTGAAAACATTTGAAGTGAAATTTATAAAACAACATCTTCAATTGTTTAATTTTTTAATCTGGTAAAAAAACATATATATATATATATATATATATATATAAATATACGTCAACATTTATATTGATGTGCATATGATTGCTTGTTTTTGATCTCCTCTGTATTTAATTATCAATACTAAAAAACATTGAAATTGAAAACTAAGTTCAATAACTTCAGGTTTATATCCCCATTTTAAAATCTGTCATAAATTTACCGATTCTGACTTTGTATTTCAGTATTCTGGGGTGTTCATAGACCTGTTACCAGGATGGTATCGTATCAAGGTAAGTTTTGACTTAAAAGAATGTCCATAAGGATGAAATACAGAAAATTATAATGCTACCAGATTATCTTGATATTTTCTCTAATAAAAATATTGGAAGGTTTGATAAGAATTTTTTTCTTTTCTTTTAGATTCTCCCTGAAGATCCTTACTACAAGGATCAAAGCAAATGTCTGTGTAGGGATAATTGGGGTAGCTGTGTTAGCTGTTCTAGAACAATGACTGCAGCGATATACATCCATGAACCCCCTACGACAACACCCAGCCCTTCCATTACGCAGAAACCTGCTACTGAGAAACCTTCTTCACTGAAGCCTGCTACACAAGAACCCTCTTCTAGAAGTAAGTATTATTGTACAGTCATCATTGTCATTTAAACTTTTTCCTGGCATCATTTTGGAGGGATATATGCTGGCTTCAATAACATTTGAATACTGCCAGACCACATACTTCCATCATCATCAAGAGGCCATGTAATTTAGAACTTAAAACACATAGATCCACTATGGACATGTCACAATAACTTTATATGTTATCATTTATAACAAATTCCTTCCATAGCAACTGGAATAGTTACTTGATGATGGGGTTTCGGGATAAAAACCTTTATGAGGAGGCTCGACCATTTCACAATCAATTGCTAGATTTTCTTGAATTTTTTACAAAAGAATTTTGCTACCATATATGGTTATAAAAATCTAAGCAACCAATGAATTGTTCAATTTTTGGTGGAAAATGCATAAAAACTTATACTTCTCCATTTTTTGTTATCTTTTAAAGAAAACTTTATCTACTTTACAAATATTTCATTTATGAAAATATACACAAAGCAATATTTATGAAGTTTATGTTTAGTGGATACATTTCAATATCTACTCTAAAAATACTCAAATAACAAAAAACTGCAAAAAACCACAAGTAAAATATTGAAACAAAATATCACGGAAACCCTTTTACATATGTAAATTTACATATAGAATTGTTCCTGGGGTGGGTTGTCTCCCTTGCAATTGATAGGAACTTCATGAGTGGGTAGCATTATTACATACCACATACGTTATTCATATATAACGAGTTTCAATAGAAGTTAGGAAGGGATGATTAATTACAACATACTCAAGCGTTACCAGTTGAGAGGTTATTGTCATGGAATTCCAATAGATACACTTACATATATATAACAGTATGATAAACAATGATTTATGTATCTGGTGGGCACTCATACATGTTTCGGTATTAAACAGCAGCACAGTGCACCTGTACCACTCACCTGATTTCAAATATGCAATAAAGGAATAACCAGGATTGTCCTCTCTAATGATATAAACTGTTATAACTTTATTTGTATTGCATCTTCAGTTCATTCTTTAAATTATATGCTGTCTCACCAATTCAATGATGCGTCGTCTCTATTTCCAGTGCATTAGAGGTACTCAGTTGTCCAATCCCATCTCATTCTCGTCACTTCCGTCACTTCTAGAGTCTGACCATGTGTCAATATCGTTTACAGCAACTGATGCTGTTGGCATGGAATAGGAATGGTAGTGACAGGTAATACTTACGTTACCATCACTTTCAAAAGGCATAAACTGCCACCTCTGGTCTCTTTTCCCCACGTACTTCTCATACTCTATATACAGAAGAGTTCTCTTTCACTCAATACAAAATTTACATCTCATAGCAAAATGCCAGATAAACAAATAGCAACTTAGGTCACCACTTGTGAAACATTATTTGTGTATGACGTAAGGTCGAGTCTCCTTAAACCATCCCCAGTTGAATATGACGACATTTTCATTATTGACTGTAGGTTTGGCAGTATTGTTATGTTATGTCTTAATATTTCCATTTTTGGGTCATCTGACACAAAGGGACAGGATGACCTGGCTATAGCCATCATGTTTCATCCGTCATCTTGCGCATTCCTCCACCACCATGTGTAAACTTTCCATTCAAATGATTTCTTTTCTATAACCAAAAGGCTCAGGGTACTGATATTAGGCCTGTAACATCATGAGATAAAGGGCTACCAAGTTTGTTGATATAAATGACCTTGATCCACTTTAAAAGTTACTGGGGTCACAGGGGTCAAATATGTTCAAATGTTTAAACAATTTCATCCCAATAACCAGACAATGGGCTACAAAGTTTGTAAATATTCATGCTTTCAAGGTCACAGGGGTCAAATGAGTTAAAATCTTAACACAACTTCTTTTTAATAGCAAAAAGTTCCAGGTTGTTTATATTGGTTATGTCATGGTATTTGTTTAGTAGCATTGATGAGAAACATGATTTTAAATTTGCAGAAAATGTTTTTATAAACTGACATTGTCTTCTTTGTAAGCTGTATAGTAGTTGAACAATTTAAGCCTCTTTCATATATAGGTCTTTATAGTCAGATGACTGTGTAATTATCTCTTTCTTTCAGATTACCTCACTTGAAAACTGTGATAATAAAATTATTGCAATGGTGAATTAATGTTTAATATTAACCATCTTGTTTCTATGTGGTTGGCGATAGATTTGTACAAAAGACAAAAGTGAGTTGTACTTTTGAATACAAATTAGAAAAAGATATGTACAGCATAACCAAGTAATAGTAAAAACAATATCACACAGCTGTTCCATCCTTCTAAGGTGATATCGTCAGTGATGCGAGGGTCAAAAGCGATGAAATTTAGGAAGTGATTGAGAGAAATAAAAATGGGCAAAATTTATATCAAAATTTCATTTGGAAGGAGTACAAACCTCATAATTCCAGTTCATAATTTTTAGTACAGAATGTTTTCTAAGTAAGTAAAATACTCTGCTATTATTGATGGAAGTAAATCCTAGGGAAAAGGATGCACTTATATTAAAAACTTGGTAATTTTGGCTTTCTGTACTTTATTATAGGTACGACAACCAATGGTAAATCATTGTCTGGCAGTATCTTTTTCTAATGCTCCCATACTATCATTTAATGTGTAGTAGCAGCTCATTTCTATCATTGTCAATATCTCTTCTCAATAAAAATCTTCTTTTTTTCTGCTCAATCTTTTCTTTTCTTTTTTGATGTTTTGCATGCAGACAAACTGGATTGATTGTCTCCCTTTGGTGACAGCAAATCATGTTACAGCTGCCTTTTGAGTGAGAAAAAATTCCGATTTTTTTTAATTTGTTTTTTTAGAATGTTAGCCATTCCAGTCTTATGATTTTGCAGTTTGTTAATAGCATCAGGGGGGTCTCAGGTATTACAGCATTGTTCTGCTGTCTTAAGTCATTTTGGTGCATAACAGGATAATCCATCACCTTGACAACTTATCTGGTCAAGATTTAGATATAATCATGTGGCATGCTTTTAATACAAAAGAATTAATTTGAGATGTCTATATATAGACTAAAGCTTAAATCATATATTTGAGATATAAAAATATGTGTACTTTCAATAATCTTGAATAAAGCATGTTTCATAGACCGGAAGTAGATAGGGTAACAAAATTTCAGAAGTTTGAAACTAATTATAATACCAACTTTTTGAAATGGCTGACTCAAAAGGTAGCTGTTCATCATGGACACATTATTCTGTCTGTCATTTTTTCTACCTTGCTTAATGCTAGTATGTGTTATAAATTTCAACATCTCCATCCAAAACCTCCTTGAATAGATATGATTTATCGTTTTAACTTAAAAATGGCAAAAATAGATCTTGACTACTTAAAATGATCATTCTAATGCAGTGTGTGTTTTTTTTTCAAATTGATGCACATATTGTCGTAACTATTCATTAGTCATGCCTGACAAAATTTTTCAGTTTTTTTTAACTTATAAGCTGTTTCTACAATGGCGAATGGTTTATCCTTTTTTCAGACTTGACAGAACTTAGTTATGTTCTTACTTTTCATCAAGTCTGAATTGGTTTAGGTTTAAATAAGAACAAAATGTTTAGAAAATTTAGGAATATTTGTGAATTCTGTTTGCCATGTCTAGGTTTAACAAACAACAATAACATAAATGTTTTAGCTGCTAGCTACACCTGCAAATCCTGTCATATGTTGGTTTATAAATGCTAATCGAATATGTCTCTTTCTATAGAAATTCAAAACGGCTCTTTTAAAGAAAATTTCCTTAAGCTGCTTCAACTTTCTTTTTAAGACTTATACAATAAATAAATAAATAAATAAATAGATAAATAAATAAATATATAAAACATGTAAATAGTATCAATCACAACAGCATGTGGAGTGGATGTTTTTAGGATTTATGAGGTACTAGTCGACCGAAGAGTGAAGGAACCTACAAACCAACCAGAATGAACAGCATTGGCTCTAATACATGTATTCTTAAAAAAATAAAAGACGCAGTGATGTCTTCAGTTGCAATGATCCTTTTAAACTTTTCCAGAATTACTGTAGTCCATTAAATATTCCTTTTTGCCAGGTACAATGAATAGGAAACTGTTCAGAGTTGGTTTCCCAAGAGCTTTCAACATTGTCTTTTTACAGAAAAACAGTACAGTATTTCTAGCAAATGTTTAATTTGGAGAATTTGGGGGTCTGAATGACCCCATTATGACCTGCATTTATGTAAAAATAAAATATCAGCTTTCAAAATGTGTCAACATTATTTGGATTGCTGTGTTTGTGCATTTTACCAATTACCTTTATACCAGGTAATGTGGTGACACTGAAACGGTTGAAACTGAAGGAATTTCTGTTGAGGACATGAATGACATCTAATTTGAAATATTCTATTTTAGATTGAATAATTTGCAGGGCATATATAGCTGCATTGATGTCTTTTCTTCTGATCATTGTGGGCACAATCAAATACTCAATATTGTTCCATGCTAGATACTGTTGTTACCATGTATGTTCAACAGTCATCAGTACTTCTGTGGGAAGATGGGTGTGGATTGTGATGAAAATACAACACTGGTAAATGGATTACGTACTTTATGCAAGAAGGGTACCTGAGTGAAAATACTCTTTACTTGGAGTTTGGATTTGTGACATCCCAAGATGATATTGATACCTAGGTTCATTGAGAATATATGTACATGTGTAGACTGACATTTCATATCAGTTACCTGACTAATCAAAATTAAATTTTTTTATCATGTTGGATTTGTTAATTCCCACCTGTAGTTATCAAGAATTCGATCATATTTTAGAATTGATAGTTTTTTGTCTCTTTTGGGTTTCCATTTTGAAGGAACCTGTTTTAATATATTCATGTCCTTTAATTGGTCAGCAGATTCTTCACTTAGAAAGCAAACATTTGATATTTAGATAGCATTACACAACTTAATGGCCTGTTATTCATGCAGCCTTGATATTAGTAAAGGTGTGTTGTTTCCCAGCTATCTACACTCAAGCTGTTAACAATTCACTAGATATTTATTGTTTGATCAATCAAATGTAAAAGTATAACCATTTACCTGGTGGTAGACTTTGCAGCTCACCCTAATGACAATAAAATATAACTAACAGACTTTCAATCAATTAACCTTTGATAGAATGTTAAGTTTCACCTTGTTTTTTGAAAAGCAAAAAGACATAAATTTCATCTTAAAATGTTTAAATGTGACTGAATTTGCCAAAGGTGAATATTTTGCCATAAGGAACAGACAAAACACCACTATGTAGATCATAAGAATCTATGATATTTAGAACAAAGGCTGAATACTTCTTCTTACACACTAATGGCAGTCTTTTCTGGAAGGATGCCTTAATACTAGATCATTGATTGGTCAATTTGTTGTGAATAGTTAAATGTGCTGATAAGTATGTATATACATTACAAACATTAATTTCTCCATGTAGAAGACAATTAAAACAGGTTTAGCAATTCAGGCATTAAGTGGAAGTTAAGCTTCATTAACTAACATACACATGAAACAAATGTCTCATTAATGCCAAAAGTGGGACATACAAATGAAATAGGAGATGACTTCCGTCATATGGACATTAGAGAAGCGAAACGCATTTTGCTGAAACTATAAAGAATGTAGATTCGTTGACAGGGGTCTTCCTGTTTCACACTCAAGACTTTTTATACAATTTTGAGTTTAACCTACTATGTTCCCATCAATTTTATGTTACATGAGACGAAGCTTCAAGTGACTTATTGCAATTGCCCTTTGTCCGAAATCGTGTGTCATGCATCGTCAGTCATAAATATTTGACATTCTCATCTTCTTCTTTATAACCGAAAGGATCAGAGTACTGATATTATGCCTGTAACATGCTGAGGTCAAATATGTTAAAATATCTAAGCAACTTCTTCTCAGTAACCAAACGTACAGGGTGCAGATATTTGGCTTGTAGTATACTGGGATGAAGAGGGTACAAAATCCTTTAAAATGAACAACCTTGGCCCGATTTCAAGGTAATCAGGGTCAAATATGTTAAAATCTTTAAATAACTTCTTCTCAATACCCAAAGGCACAGGGTGCTGATAATGCCCTAGTAGCATTCTAGAATATAGGGTTACCAAGTTTGTAAATATATATGACCTTGACCCACGTTCATAGCCACAGGGATCAAATATGTTAATTTTTTTTGATGACTTCTTTTCAATAACCAAAAGGCCAATGGTATGATATTGAGCCTTTAGCATGCTGGGATGAAAGCTACCAAGTTTGTTAAAATTTTCTTTAAGAAATAGTTCAGACTTGGTAAGAATTATCAGTATAAGCTGACAGTTAATACCCTTGGGCCTCTTGTTTAGTCATGTGACCATGCGAGACTTATATGAACTGTTATATGTGCTAACTCTAAAATTGTGAAATTTGAAAATGTATTAGCAAAAAAGACGACTGAATTGAGCTGTATTCATTTTATTTCAAGCGATTCACGTATCATCCGGCCAGGTTTGACTTAGTATTATGAAAAAGCACACATGCTGTGTCGAGTGGTTGTTGGAAATGGCAAACATGCCTACTTGTCACTCAAGATACCTGTACCATCACAAGAATGGGAAAATGTGACTGACAATATGTCCCAAGAAACTTCTCAGTGAAACAGAGAGTATTGCAGTTTTATATTCAGTGAAGTGATTGATAGTACTCTAGTATATATCCTAATCGTGTTGTTATTTTTGTGTTTACTTTTCAGGAGTAGAGGAAGACAAGACGGGAAAAATCATAGGAGCTGTAGTTGGTTCTTTTCTTGGTGTCATTCTCATCGTCATCCTTATCCTCTTTTTCATCATGTACCGAAGTAGGTTATATTTTTTTTAATATTTAATATTATTAATATACTATCAACCATTTTAAAATTTTCTTCCATCAAAAAAACTAATTTATTTTATTTAGAAAGTTTATTCGAGACCTGTGTTTATAGTAACTTTTCAATGTTAGATCACCTTTGCCTGGTATCAAATGTTTATAACTTTTTTGCTGAAGAATATGCATGAAAAATGATTATGTATTTTGATAGATAAAAACATCTACAAAATTCAATTTAACTTTGATTTTCCAGGGAGACTTGGAGGAAAGCAAGATCCTGAACCTGGAAAATATGTGCAAGGACCATATGAGTACCAAGGTCAAATAAATGCTAATTTCATGAATGACGAGAAACCCAAAGCGACAGGTAATAAGCTTGTAACTAAAGTATAGAATATGATTTCAGTGTGCCTTTCATGGTATTTAAAATTGTGTTCTGCCTAGTTTAAGATTGAGTAAGATTACTGAAACAGTACTGATTACAAATCAAAATATTTTGTCTATAAACAAAGTTCAATATACAAAATAATGGTAACGATGTATTTCTGTCAATATTTGTATGATTTGTGATATTCACACACAGGTCCAAGACTGTTGAAGAGACAGAATGTGTTCTTGGTGAACACTGAAGACCACCCTAAACATCTTGCTGTGCTGAAGGCCTTTGCCACTTTCCTACAGAAGGAGTGTAGTTGTGATGTGACCTTTGCCCCTGATTGCAAAATTGATGACAAACCTCAGTGGGTTTTACGCTCCATGGAAATGGCAGATTATATTCTGGTGGTGCAATCCTCAGCAGCATACCTCCAGTGCAAGTCTTTGAAACAGAAGAAAGGGGAGCTGTGTTATCAGCCTCTGACGAAGGTGGGGGATATTTTTGTACCTGCACTTCAGATAATTACCAATTGTATAGGCAGAGAAAAGGACGTCAGGAAGTTCCTATCTGTACAGTTTCCCTATACACCTGACAAGTTTGTCATGAAGGACTTGTTTCCTGGCAAAACATACAATATCCCAACTCATTTAGATGAGTTCTTGTGCTGCATACATGGTCTTCATAACACGCAAAGTAAGCTGGAGGAATACAACCTTCCTGTACGCGTTAGTATTAGGCTCCGTCCTCCAGGCATGAATCTAATCGATGCAATAAATGAAGCTGCAGACTATGAGAGTATGCTCAACCTCAACCAAAATTCTAGTACAGAAAAGCTGGACTCTGGTATTGGTGAGGACGACACTTATTCCATAGGCAGTCACAGTGGGGGTATTGGTAACAGCAATGGACCAGCAAATCATACCTTCCAGAACAATGCTTTCCCTAACAGTAATTACGATTATGCCTTCCAAGATGGAAATACCCCGAATCAGCTGTCTACAGAATCTCCAACAACACCAGGAGACTATGAATATGTAGATGTGAAAATCAATCAGGGTCCGCAAAAGCAGTTCTTCCCAACGAAGAGAAATGAGCTACAGAATATGTGGACTGCACCAGACGAACTTTCTGAGGACATCCCTGCTTACCTGGAGGTTGAAGGTGGCAACTTTTCATTCCATCCTCACCCTCCCAGTCAGCTTGGTGAAGAGGATGTCCAGAGCACACAGCTCAGAGATGAGATCCGCGACATTAACACACGCTACATGACCACGCAATTACGCGACAGCAATCCAGAGGTCGAAGAGTGTCAAAGTCTTGGTGGTATGAGTGTATAGCTTTGAGAACAAAGTGAAACTAGGACACATATAGGACCATCACAACCTGAAGTGTTGAATAAAGGTCTGAATAAAGGTCTGTCACAACGTGAAAAGTTGAATAAAGGTCTGTCATAACCTAAAAGGTTGAATAAAGGTCTGTCACAACCTGAAAGGTTGAATAAAGGTCTATCACAACTGCACAACCTGAAAGGTTGAATAAAGGTCTGTCACAACCTGAAAGGCTGAATAATCTTGAGTTAGGAACATGCCTGGATGAACTGCCACGGAATTGTACTCAAATACAGTAGAACTCTTGCTTATTTTTTCATTTAGAATACTGCATGATACATGGCTAAAACTTAATTGATTTATGGGAGATGAGAAGCATGCTTTCTTTCTCATTATGTTTACAAAATTATCTTTGTTTTACCAGAATAGTGGAACAAGTTATGTCAAGATGAAGTAATTGCTCTTAATGGTCTCGACTGAAGCGTGAAATCCTACTCTTGATGGGAAACAAGACGTCATAAAATAACTGATGCTGTTTCATAACCAATGGTCTGGTAATCTATTTATGGTCACTTAGGTTAAAGACAAATGCATCACCGTCATCCAGTCAATCTGCTAGAAAGCAACATCGAAAAATAAAATGTTCGAACACTGGTGAGAAAAATTCAAATATTCTTAGAAATCCATAGAAGGTGAAGTCAGAGAGATGAGAAATAATTAGAAATCCAATTAGTATTTTCATAAATTAATTAACACCAAAAATATGCATTGTTCATATTTACCAAATAATTACATTACATTCCAACATGTAACCTCCATTCCATTCTTCATTCCGTAAATAAGTTTATTGCAATGATGTGGGCAAAGTATAGTATTGCCTGCAACAATTCAATATTACTGTCATAATTTTTTTTTAAATCTTACCGTCATTTTGTAGATTTGAATAAGTTGAAAGGGAAGACAATGCTAGATATTTCTGTCATATTTTTTTTTTAATCTCACCATCGTTTTGTAGATTTGAATAAGTTGAAAGTGAAGACAAATGCTAGATATTGCTGTCATAATTATTATTATTATTATTATTTTTTGTAAATCTCACCGTCATTTTGAAGATATGAATAAGTTGAAAGGGAAGACAAATGCTAGCCAAAGTTCAATTTCAGATTTTCAGAGTAGTGCTTATGCATCCCCTAGTTTATTATTTCCAATTGTTTTCAGTTTGCGGTTTCAACACTTGAGACCCCTAGCATCACTGACAGGTCACAGAAGTATTAAACTGCAATAAGATTACGTTTTAATTTAGGTCATAATTAGACTTAATACTTTACTAATTTTAATTTGTTTTCAAAACTGATATTTCCTTGCCTGTCTTTTGTATAATATTTTCAAGTTGATATGAATCAATACACTTCTTTTAATGATATTGCAATGACTATATATGGAAGCTTTATCTATAAAATGAATGTTTGATTCACTGTATTAATCATTAATAATCATTTAATTTAACTTGTAACATAAAGAAATCAATGCTATGATTTTCACATTCATCATTTTTAATTTTTTTTATTTTATTATATTTTTTTTTACTTTGACATAACCATTATATTTGTTATTTTCATGTTATTCTTTTCATGAAACGAAATGAAATCTATTTTTAGATTTGTGATTAGAATCTTAGACACATAAAAAGACCTGAATTTTTGTGTCATTTTGTATTACTTTGTACAGGAATCAGATCAGATACATGAATGACTAAATCTGTATTATTGACACACAATTTGTCATTGACCATCAATGAATGCATTTTAAGTATTGAAGATGAGACATGCTCTCTTCTAGGTTGTCAAATAATGAATCAGTGAGAATTGTTAACATGTTGTGTACTTCTGGGACCCAGATCTTCAAACTAAGTGAAAATTAACCAGTTATCCTTATAGATATATTTTAAATGTTGTCCATATTTACATCTTAAAATTTATATACTTAAATCAGTTGTTTTTTTATATAGCCTTTATCAATGGCAGCCAATCATAATAATAAAATAACTTACATTTTATGCAGTTTTAGTGTTATCTTCATTAACATTTCTCAAATTTTCCTTTTAACAAACATTATTTAAAATTCCGTACTTGAAAAATTTTCGCTCCTTAAACCGCGAATTTACTTTTTCACTTGTACTGGTGGTATCCTGTTCATATTTTTTCTACAAAGTCATTGTCATCGCCATAATATTATTGTGACACTCGGGCCTTTGAAAGATTGTGATTAACACAGGTATGAATGGAGTTCAGGCATTAATAACAATATTTTTGGATGTAAAAAATATCTGTTAAATACTATCTTATCGTTGATATAACAAAAATGATTGTATTTATCATCTTGACCTCCCATTTCTCGATGTTGTACTGAAGTTGATTTATCACGTTATGTTTTTTTTTAATCATTGTATTTGTGAAATCCATTTCTTTTACTAGAAGAAGACTATTTGCATACGTCTTTATCTGTTCTTTGATTTTTTAAATTTTAATATTGATTCGGATAAGAAGTAACTAGGGAGACAACTCTAATACCGATTTTGGACTCTGCGCTACTGTACCATTCAGTGTATATATTAAGTTCTACTTCTTTCTTGAAATGTGTAATTTATTTTCTGTGATGAAATATGTTCTATTTTAGAGTATGTGATTATCATGGAATCTTCAGTAGTCTCTAGATTGTTGCAATGTTGTCATAAGGTCACTATTTAATTGCGTTACATATAAATGTATTGTATATAACTATACATCTGTATTGAATGGTGCTATTATTCACTTTTGTCTCTTTGTTACATAATTTGTTCACGTGAATACACATATGCTAAAAAATAACTAAAATCACGAAATTCCAGAATATTGTTACAATGAAGGAGATACGTGACATAATTTGTCACTACTTGGCATATTTATTCCAGGCTAGAAAAACTCTTCAGCCATATATCTGTTTGAGAATTGGCATTAATTTTCACTTTTTTTTTGTTTTTTGTTTGTTTTGTTTTTCATGTTTTAAATCAATTATATATATATATATGTGTGTGTGTGTGTGGGGGGGGTGTTTGTTTCAAGCCAGTGTCAGTTAGTGATCTTACATACCGTTAAGACCTAATTTCATGGCTTTGAAATCCGCATTTGAGTATATACTTTTCTGGAATTATCGTAAAATTGTTACACGAAGTTCACAAAGAGCATGTCACATAAAGAATTCAGGAGATACGTATTTTTGTATTTCAGATATATTCTTTGTGTTTTTAATACATTTCTATTTTTGTAAATTTTAGTCATTGATAGGGAATATGTAACTATTGTCATTTCATTGATGTTAAAGACAATTTTTGTAGATGTATTCTTATAGTTTAATAGTATGAGCTTACTGATATGTTAACTAAATTGCACATGAACGGCATTGTACATATTATTAGCAACTCTCTTCTCTTTTTCCTGTGTTGGGAGACTTGATAAACAGAACAGGTCAATGTTAAGTCAGTGTGAAGCGAGATTCGATTATCTTCCAAAGATCGCCTGCAAATCGACAAATAATCGATATATAACCATTTCTGTACACCATAAGTGAATTTCTTTGTCGTGTTGGTGTTTTTGTTTTTTGTTTTCCTGTACACTTCTTTTAAACATCGGTCTGGACAGAAGAGAAGAAGGTGCCACGTCACGTTTCACTTTCCTTATTTCAGATATTTTAGATCATTTTGTCTATAGCTGCATGTTAATCAAGCTGATATTGATAAAAAATGTATTTTGAATTTATCCTGATGTGATTTATATTACCAACACTTTACTCATTATTCTGTGTGCTTCACATAATGTATTGCAATAATAATCACGTTAACGTAGACCTTGAAATCCACGTACTTTTATAACATGCATTTCAGTGTTGTTTTAAATTCACAATTGATTTTATTGTTCATGTGAAAAATTCTGATGTTTTAGCCATATTTTGTGAATTCAAGCACCGGGGACAATAGAGAAATTAATGTAGGAGATTGATCTGTTTGATATAGCTGTGACAAATAGTCGCAAAAACGAGACTATGAAGTTGATTTCACTTTAAAATTTTGGCTTTAGATATGTTTGTCAATAACTCCACCTCTGACTAGCTTTGTTATAAATCTAGATCTATATCATATATATATATATATGCAATTATTTCTCAAGATCTGAAGTTTTGATCAGTAACAATGCACAAAAAATGAAAAATTCCGTTAAATATTTACATAAATACCTGACTCAGATATTCGTAATTCTGTATTACTTTTGAAGTTATAATACGGGAATATAACTGTATTCCATTCCTGATTTAGCTGTAATAGCTCTCATACTTTATAAGAAACATAGTTAAATTTTAAAAAATTGGAAGTCCAGCTTCACAGCATACCGAAGCTGCTGGACCGTAACATCTTGTAGACAATTTGTAAGTGAGGTGTCTACAAATGCTGCTACCAGGAAATCTATTCTATGTATTTCAATTCTTATATATGATAAAGAAACGTAGATTTTAGACCCATGTTTTTATCAACAGTAACGTAACTTTGAATACTGACGTCATTTTCAAACGAGGTTGTCCTCGACAAGATTTTTATTCCATGTTGGTGAATTGTATCAGAGAAAACAGATTCCTAGGTATCACTTAAATTTCCTGAAACGTTATTGTCGATGGTTCATTTTTGTCATTATATTTCATTAGTAAATGAATTTCTAAAATTAAAATTGGCTCTCTGTAAAATTATGTCTGGATTTTTATAACTTAGCGATGCAATGTGCCATATATATTGGGGTTAATATATTATTGATTTGATATATATCGCCTTCTTTAAAACTCCTATTGATTGTGTGTGATTTTTATATAAAATTTATTCACTGAATAATGGCGTTTGAATTATTATTTATTCCATAATAAAGCAAAAATGAAACTCAGCCCTACCAGGACGTCCTAGTAGTATTGAGTTTTCTTGTTGCTCTATT